CATTGGAAGCCAAGTAACCAAACAGGAATTCAAAGAGAAGAAACAAAACACATCAAAAAGCTACAGGGATAAGTCTAACGCATTATTAGTATGTCATGATACAACCTGCCCTTGTTTCTCCTAATTAGATTATGTGAAAAAGAAATGACAAATAGCTCCTGTTTTTCTCCTCCTTTTTCCCCTCAAAAAAAAAAAAAAAAAAAAGTGTCGGAACCAAGAAATTTTGGATGTTCAAATGTGCCAAGTAGTATTTTTTAAATCCCCATTTGAATAGTGATGAGTTTCCCTGAATGACGGGGGAGTCCTAATGAGAAAAGAGCAAAAGATACCATTACAAAAAGCATCCCTGATATCAGAATAGAAGCAAACGAGGAAGTAGGCCAAATCGCTCATGGATTCTTAGGCAAAAAGCAACTTTAGACATCCGTCTTCTGCGCTGCAGTCTCTGCTCAGGGGAGAGGCCTATTGCTTTGCCCTCCAGGCTGCTCTGCAGGAGGATGGACTGGCAGCGCCAGATGGGGTCCCCACTGTGCTGAGAGGTTGTATAACCTATGCTAGGGGTTGCACCTCAAAAAATGTTTGTTTTGGTCCAGGGTTTGTTGAAGTTGGCCACGCACTATAGCAGATACAGCTGGCTGATGAAGCTAGGATCTGAGGGAGTCATTTCAAATACAGCAACGACGACGAAAAAAAGCCCAATGAGATAGACACAGGAAATTCACATTTTATCCAAAAGCAAAACTTAGAAAGTGAAAGCAAGCTGGCTCTGCACCTTCCTTTAGGTATTCTGTCATTTTAACTGCTGAAGAATGGAAAATAAAATGACCCCAGGTTCAAGGTCAAGCCATGTCATCAAATAGACAACCTGCAAGTATCAGATTCTCACAGAATCCACTTTCCTAAAGTTGTCATGACGTCCTGTTCTTGAGGTATTTAAAAAAAATCATTGTGACAGCAGATGACACAAAATGGAGCTTCCTGTTAAGTTTTTAAAATCAATTTTTGGGACTCAAGGAATTTAGAATAGCACCAACTACAAAGCAGCCTCAGTGGCACCAAGTGAGCACAGACGCCTCCTTCCTTTAGTTTGAACATGAGGGGTCACCATTGAGGGACAGAAGCAACACTGGGCGAAGGCTGTGAGGAGCAAAGGAACAAACCTTGCCACCATGGTCCCGGCCAGTGCCAGGTGAGGAAGGAGAGCCGTCGGGTCCCCTTGGCCTGCAGAGCACCTATGGGCCGCTGAGCTGTCTGCTTGGACCTTGGGCTGTGCCTGCCGTGTTAGAGGAGGCAGGAGTCCCACACACCCCTTCCTTGGAAAAGAAAAGGGGGGGAGGGGGGAAAGCCCTGGCTCTTCCTTCCTCATTAGGCCCCAGAGGAAAGATGAGAACCCAAAGCACCCACCAAGCCAGGCCCGCTCTGTCTGCAGTAGGGAGCTGGCGGTCTCTGTGACTTGCCTTTCCTTGTCTGGCCACCAAGGGCAGCACAAAAAAAAAAACACCTGCTCAGAGCAGATTAGAGCACGGTAAACAGAGGTCTAGGGAGACAGCACCGAAAAGGGGTGGGGGGGAGGGGAACAAGCCAAGAGACTGCAGCCCACCTAGTTTTTGGTTGGTTGTGGTTTCAGAACATTGATAGCACCTCAGCAAGACAGGATCGGGGACAGTCACATTAAAACACCATAGCACCATTTTATTTAGACTATTTCAATTCATAAAAATGCTTCCTAGTCCATAAAACACACTTCAGTAACAAAAGAAAAGAGATATTGGTTGAGGCACGTCAGGAATATCACTTTCCACCAGCACTGCCTTAGGGTGAGATCTGGTGGTGGTTTAAACCACAAAGTTTCCGGCTGGATCTCACTCCATGAAGTCAGGTGACCATCTACTCGTCATCAACCATCCTCACACCTACTGCTGCTTGATACAAAGTGAATAAACACCACTCCTTTACGGGATCCCTTGCTCTGCCAACTACTGTTTCCAAAAGCAGCTGGTGGGAGGAACAGAGGGAGCAGGTAGAATCCCTTCTCGTGACTACCACTGTCACTCAGAGAGAAGGCAAAGCAGATCCCCCTGAAGCCAGGGTGTGGGAACTCAGGCCCTGCGAAAGAACAAACCCAACAACAAAAACACATAACCTCAAAATCTATGAAACACCTTTAGTCAAGATTTCTGATGGTTAGGTAATGATTTCTTGAGCTAGCACCAGTTATTTTGCGAGAACCTGCCCAAAGTGATTTTATTAAAAAAAATCTCTTAGCACAGAACTCTGCAAGCACTTCCCTTGCATGCAAAAAAGGCAGGGACAGACCAACAAAAGAGGAAGCGAGTGTCTGCACTGTGTCGAGTGGTGTCTGGGGCGGGCGCTGGGGAGATGACAAGAAGACTTGCGATACGTCACTCTTAAAACTTGGTCATGCTGTTAGGTTCTTTAGTTGCAATGGCTTTATTTTTTTCTTCTCATGATAAAATTGTTCATCATCTTTAGGAATTAAAAAAATGATAGTGCCAGTAAAAAATAAAAATTTGATTTTACTCTTTAAGAAACCTTCAGCAGCAAGGGGGATAAACAGCTGTGCATAGTTACTTTTAAATATACCTCTAAAGCATGCTAATTTTAATGACTGAGATCTGAGGTAGGTTATACATGTAGTGTGTAAAAATTCAGCATGGGCTTGAGCCGGCAACAGCACCACCTAACTCTGAAACGCCATTCTGAGGGGAATGGGGACATCCAATGGAGACTGCCTCTTGACTCTCCTCTCAGCAGCCTGTCTGCAAATCTAGAAATTTATGAAGCCAAGGCTGTTTGGGCTGGGGGTGGGGGTGGGAGGGAGAGGACAGACATCACATGCTTTTTAGCTTGTATTGGTTTCTCCTTTCATCTAATGGCTTTGCTACCAAAGGGTGACGAGGGGAAGACTATACTTAACATACATCAGGAAGATTCACACTTGCCAAGTATCAGAATCACCTGGGTTACACTCAGGACCTTCCAAACCAACAGCCAACCTGGGGCTTTCACGGGTCATACAGACGGTCACATTCTCCAAATGTTTCGTAAAATATTGTATTTCTTGCTTAAGATCATTTAAAATGAAGTTTTCAAGGCACCCCCGCATCTACCCAAGCACGGAGTCAAATGAGACCTGCATAAAAGTACTGATGCGATAAGCAAAATAGCATTTAAAGGACCCAACTTTTCCTCAAAACTAGAAAATTAGCATGCTCATTAAAGACTCTGCTTCCTTTAGCTTGTCAAACTGAAGGTCAGAGGTTTTCCTATAAATCTGAGTTCTGAATAATTCTAAATCCTGATAAGCTCTTGGGTATTTATTTCAAAAGCAATAATATTTCATTTTGTCCTGTAAAATAAATGCAACTTTACAGAATATGGTAAAAGTGAAGGATAGACAAAGCACGTTAAATATTCAGCTACTATTTACAATTTCTCCCACAATTACATGTTAAAACATATTTTCAAGTTGCTGTTTAAATCTAGGCAAAAGTGCTTAAAAAAATCTTTCACTATTTACAGTTAAAACCAGACCACATAAATGCTCAGGACATCTTACAGCGACTCACCGCCAGTGTTTCTGAAACAGTAACACCCAGCGGGTTGGTCTCAGCTCTTACACAAGGCACCTGGAAGCTCAGGAACTTGCCTTTAGCATGGTCATCTGATTGTTAGACTTGTTTCACGAAGACCCACATCTGAATAAAACTGCTCAATAAACATCTGCTGTTCACCTCAGGGCTTGGCTGTCATCTACTGCGTGGCCACAGTCCCCTGCTGAAGCCTCCCAGTCACCACACATCCCCATGGGTAGCTTGATCAACTTTCTGTTAATACCACAGGAAAAAACAAACACTCCAAGAGGTTTGACTTATTGTAGATGAATGTTGCTTCCATCTGTCAGGCCCAACCTCTCTCAACAACATTGCAAAAATGAAGCACCACATTCTCATTTCAAAGAACTGAACAAATGCACCAGAATTTTAGAATGGGCGTCTTAAAGTAGGGGGAAGAGGGGAGGAAGGAAAGGAGAAAATGACCAATAGAGAAATGGCACCAATTAGGGAGGAAAATCATAGCTACCTGCTGAAAAATGTTTGACTCTTGCATTTTAAAATGGTTATGTATAGGCCCACTCCCCAGTGATAGTGGGAGGTGGGCTCGGTTGTGAGGCATGCACCATTGTCCACTGTGGAAATCCAGGAATAAGGAGAGATGCGTCAACTGCTGTTACCCTGGTGTGCTGCACTCCCGCTGGGTGTGACCCGCCCAGAGTCAAGAAGTCCCAGCACAATACTCACTACAGCACCAGGCTCAGCTCAGCACCGAGAAGCAGTGCCGGCTTTTCACAGCTTGGGTTCGACTTCTTGTTTTAGAGATACAGTAGCCCTTTTTCGGTTATCAGCATAGACTTTGGGGCATTTAAAAAAAAAATTGCCACTAAGACAAAATTCCTTTAGCCCAGTATTCATTGGCTTGTCAACTTGGTGGAAACGGCTCGTAAGAGCCAGCTCCAGCTCCATCACGAGGTGCTGCCTAGGGAACCATGACATCGTGTGACTCGATAAATAACGGACAGGGGATTCAGTGTGGAGACTAGCAAGCTCGAAGCTGACTACTTCCAATCTGGTTTCTGGGGAAATCTACGCCAGCATCATCTCAGGCGCCTGGCCTGGGGTGCACCTGCCCCTCCCCACCCCCAAGCCGGTGACTGGAAAGGGACCCCAGAGGGCCCCCCGCCCCCTGAAGGGAAGGCTTACCTGTCAGAAGGGATGGACTGGCTGGCTACAATCTGTACTTGGCTCATGAGGGGCAGAGGGCTGAGAGAACCATGTCCGCTCCCAAGAGGGCCAGGCTCTCTGGGCCCAGCACAACTGGGCAGGATTGAGCGCGTCTGGCCTTTCCTGCTGATCCTTTACCATTACTATTGTCGCTTTTTAAAAAAAAAAAAATCCAATAAATACACATTTTAAATGGAATTTAAAACTACTCCTTTGTGAAAGGACACTATAAACTTTCTTTCCATTATTGTGATATATAAGGATAGAGTTTTAAAAACAAGAGAAAATAAAAATCCCCCCCAAACAAGGGGGGGAGGGGAAAAAAAAACCAATGTGGAGATATAAATATTAAGATCACGAAAAAAATCACCCGACAGCCGTAGTTTCTTCTTCAAAGTGCTGGGGAAGTGGGGGGGAGGGGGGGGCGGGTCAGTTTTGAGGTTTGGACCATAAATACATATATATGCGTATCTATATATGTATATATAGATAAAAAGACTTCTGCACCCCCAACCCGCCCCCCAGTGTGAGGGCAAAAGCACCACAGAGGCAGCTCGGGCCAGGCCCGACGCTGAGGTACGCTGGCTCCCTGGCACCTATATCCAGCGGCTGTAGGGGCCGGTGACCTTCGTGTAGGCGTAGGAGGACACCGTGACCGCCGAGTCTGTGGGCACAGCCAGTGCCTGCCGGGTGGGGACGACCCCTTTTTTCTCCTTATGCTGGGGCTCGGTGACCACAGCACCCCCCCACTTGCGCTTCTTCCCGTAGAGCTTGGCCTCCTGCTGGCCCAGGCCCAGCCGGGCGGCCTCCTCCTGCCGGGCCCGCGCCCTCTCCGCCAGCTGCTTCATCTTGGCCTCCCAGAGGGCCAGCCCGTGATTGGGCTGGTTGAGGTTCTTGTGCTGGTAGAAGACCAGCGAGATGCGTGTGGGGTGGCAGCGGTTGGGTTTCTTGAGGGGGGTGGTGGCGTGCAGCTCCCGCCGGGCACACTCGATGAGGATAGAGCCATGGGCAGGGGCCACGGCCACACCCCCGATGTTTTCGTCCAGGAAGTTGTGTTCGCTGTCAGACCACAGCTCCTCCTCTTCTTCCTCAGCACCACCACTGCCCCCCACACCCTTCTCCTCCTTCACGGCCCCCTTGCTGGGCTCCTCAACCATCCCTTCCTCCAGGCCAAAGGGGTCCCACAGCTTCTCCTCGGACTTCAGGGCCCCAAAGAGCTTCTCGCTGGAGCCCAGAGGCATCCCGAAGGACTGCCAGGCCTTGTCCAGCTGGCTGGCCCCCGGGGTCGGAATCCTTCCCTCCTCCCCTTTCAGGGGGCTCCACAGCTTGTCTTGGAACCCAGGACCACCTTTCAGGGCAGGACTGAAATCCCCTGCCCCTACCCCCCATGGCTTGTCAGTCAGGCTGGGCCCGGCCAAGGCCGAGGTGTTGTTCCCAAACTTGCAGGGGCTCCAGGGCTTGCCACGAATCCGTCCTCCAGGCTGGGAGGCTGATTGCTGGCCCTCGCCAGGGAACAGCCCCCACTGGCCCTCTGGGAAGTGGGAGGGGGTCAGGCAGCCGGCCCCAAAAGAAGCGAGCTTCTCTGGGACAATGGCAGGGCTCTCCCCAGGAGGGAACACACCCCAGCCGCCACCCACACTGCTAGTCCTCTTGGGGGACATGCTTGGGCCTCCTGAGTACTGTCCCCACAGGTGATTGGGTCCCCCATTCTGAGAGGCCTCAGGCAAAGGCGTTTTGCCCATCTTACCAGGGTCTCTCGATCCAGATTCGGGCTGGACCAGCGGGTCGACCGGCTCTTGCTTGATGGTTCTGTTGTAGCAGTTGGAGCTCTGTGCAAAGGGAGAAGGGTCCCTGGGCACTGGGTGGATCTGGGGGGCCTTAGGAAGCAGATACTCCTTGGGGCCTGGATAAGCAGGCTGCTGGTGGTGAGGAGTGGGGTGGTGGGTGTCTGTGGGAACAGCCTGGCCAGGCAGCTCGGCAAACTCAGCACCACCGTAGGCCGGGCTCAGGCTGTTGTGCAGAGCGTGGAGGTCTGGCTTCTTCTCAAAACTGCCATTGCTGCTGCTGTGCCCCCAGGTGCCAGGACCCAGGAACTGAGAAGGGAAGACAGGGTTGCTGGATGGAAAGCCGTAATAGCCGAATGACGGAAGCGCGTACTTGGAGTGGAAGCCGTTGACAGAGGTCAGGCTGGGCTGTGCATAGTAGGAGTGGTAGGAGTACACGCTGTTCATGCTGTACGGGTCGGAGGGCCGGCAGTTGCCCAGCACCGAGTAGCTCTCCACCACCGCGTTGCCACTGTACTTGAAGGAGCTGAAGTGGTTCTGCGGCTCCACCTTGAGGGAGGGTTTCAGGCTTTGCTGGGGCAATCCACCCTTCAGAGACAGGCCTAGGGAAGCAGGAGGCGACAGGGAGGAGCAGAGAGCACCGGAGTCAGTCAGGGCCCTGGGCAGGAGGTGGAGACTGGGTCTCCCTCTTTCGCAGGACGGAAAGCAAAGTGAGTGAGGACGTACTCCGAGGCCCGCTGGTGCCTGGGAGAACTGGGCCATAGAGCTCACGGCCTCCCCGGCCTTCCCCTCGTCACCCTCTGAGCCCAGACTTGGAGGGGTCCCAGTGCTGCCTGCCTCCCCTGGCTGGGGGTCACCGTAGGGATGCAGTCACCCTGGTGCCCCCCCACTGCCTGTAGCCAAGGTACTGAGAGCACTGGGAGTGAGCAGGCAGGCGAGAGAAACCCAGCTCCTCTCCAAGTCCAGTTCCGGGCAGGTGAGTCTCCCATGTACTTGGCTCCCAAGTGCCTCTCAGATTTGCTATCCCGGGCCAGCTGACAAAGACAGTGGGATGCTCCACATGGATGAAAGGCCCCCCGACATCTGGCAGGGCGAGGAGCAAGGGACTTCCAGAGCTTCCCTCCCGCCCCCAAGAGTCCCCATGCCACCCGAGGAGGTACCCCCTCCACACACCTGGGTCAGTGGGGACCCCTGCCAGCTCCAGGGCCTCCTGCTTGATCTTCTCAGGAGTGCTCAGCTTCTCCTTCTGCATCTTCTTCTTCTCTGCTGCCGCCTTCCTGGCTTCCAGCTGCCGCTGGCGGCAGGATTTGGCAGGCTCAGGCAGACGCCGGACCTCTCGAGGGAAAGCCGTGAGCACCTGGATGGCCCCGCTGCCCACCTTGGCGTTCTGGTTCTCCTCGCTGCCAAATTCATCCGTGCTGGCCATCTTGTACAGGGGGAGCACGTGCAGCTGCTCGTCCTCGGGGATCTTGCCCACGCAGCGATTGTCTTCCTTGGTTAGGGTGCAGACCTGCCCCAAGCAAAGGGGGAGCGCATGGGGTTGGGGAGCCAAGCACCCACAGAGGTGGCCTCGGCCTTCCCAGCCCCCACCAACCGCGTGACCCTACTACTATCACCAACACTTGCAAGTGTGCTGCAGTTTCAAAGCACAGACACTCGCACTGTCACGCAGGACCCCAGTAAGGCTGAGGGGATAAGGGTACCATGGCTGGCAAGGGGGGTGAGGATGGGGAGCTGTGCTCTGCCCCCCAGCCCCCTGCAGAGCGTCACCGTGTGGCACTGCACACATCACCTGCTGGGGCCCTCCCACCATTTCCCCCTTGCCCTGAACACTCAAGCTTCCTTGGCTCTTAAATACTTTTCCCTTTTATTAAAACTATATGTGCTGATTGTAGAAAACTTAGGCTAACAGGAGGAAGTAAAAATTGTCTCCGTAATCTCACTACCCAGGAATGATCACTGGAAGCACTCTGGTCACACGTGCACACTTCTTAGTAATTAAAGAGATCGTATTATGCAGTCTTGTAATTGCTTCCTTTTTCTGAAAGTGAGTACTTGATTATGGGATTTTATTACTGAATTGTAACAGAAACCATATACATGTCTAGGACACTTAGTCCTTCTCCTTTGGTGCCAGCTCTACCGAGCCTCTCTTCCCCCACAGTATCAGTGGGGCTTCCTCTTACTTCTAGAGGTGCCCTACAGACACCAGCGGAGAAACAGGAGTCCGGGGGAACAATTAACAAGTGAAAGACACATCCAGCATAATCACAAAGATGAAACTAAGTGGGCAAAAAAATAGGAAAAAATGTTTAATCTCTCTAGTAATAAAGGAAACTCGTTATGACGAGGTTGTGTTTGCTCCTCAGGCTAGCAAAGACACAGAAGACAGAAATCCCGTGTGGCGAAGCAAGCTGGAGCGTGCACGCTTGAAGTGGGCCTGAGGACCCACCGGGCCCACGAAGGTGCGTACGGAGGCCTCGCTGGCTTCATGGGAGGGGGGCGGGAAAGCGCCACCGGGGAGCCGAGCCGGCCCTGCACACACCCACTGACGCGGAAGGGCGTGTGCCCTCGGGCCGAGCAGGTCAGGGAACAGCAGGCTCACAACAGGCGACCCCGCCTGTGTAAACTAATGGACCACACACGCACAAATGTACAGTCGGGCGCTGGACGTAAGGTCACCAAACGCCGCGGTGGTTCTCTGGCTCTGAGACTTCAGGCAATTTTTACCTTATACTTTAACCTTTTCCATAGGGCCTAGCTGTTTAATTGGAAAAAAATACTACTCAGTTTGGATAAAATGACTGTCTTCCTCCCCTCCAAATCCGGAGGCTCATTCTCCCTCCCACCTAGCTGGCCCCTGGTCCGGCCTTTTTTTTTTTTTGCTGGAAACCTATAAGCGACAGTGGACAGGAACCTGCACTATCTTGTTCCTTAGTCCTGTGCACAGGGAAGGAAGATGGGTGGAGAAGCGACACCCTAGGATCGGGTCATCAAAGCCCTATGGAGGTGCACCCTCACATCAGACTCGGGGGGCCCCTCTCCAGCCCCTCAGCCCTGACCAGGGCCTTGTTCAAAAGCAAGGAGAGCGCTGGCATTGCCCTCTGGGGTGTTCCCATCCAAGCCCAGACCTCCTCCTCCAATACACCTACACCCCTGGGGACCACATTTGGCCCAGGCTACATCTCCAGCTGGACATCTAGCAGACAGCACAAAACAGAATTCTTGATTGTTCACCCCAGAAATGGTTCTCAAGTCATTCTACATTTTAGTAAGTGACACCAACACCTGCCCAGTTGCTCAACCAAGACACCTCGGCGGCATCCTCGAGTCTCACCCCGCATCGCCCACCAGCGAACCTTCACCGTCTCTGAAATCTGTCCCACTATCCCGCCTCACTCCTGCCCCAGCCCCTCCCTAGCCTCTTCTCCAATTCTCACCTCTTACCCCTACAGGAAAAGAGATCAAATTTTCTAATCAGATCTCACCAACCCAGGTAAGAAGCACCCAGGGCGGGTTTCCCTCCACTCACGGAGCGAAGCCCCCAGACCTCGGGTGTTCAGGCTCTCTGCCCACCCCACCTCACTGGTCCCCTGTAGTTTCCTGAACACATCTGGGCCACTCCCAAGCCTTTGCGCTGGTCCGTCTGCCTGGGCATCCCACCTCTTGCTTCCTCCACTCCTCGGCTCAGCACCCCCCCTCCCCCTTACCAGGAAGCCTCTGACTATTCCATCCACAACCTCATTTCCTATCACTGGACCTTTTCCTCAGAGCCAGGGGCATAACTGGCACTCAAGAAACACCTCTCAGGGCATGCATGCAAGTGTCCGCAGAGATCAGAGCCACACCTTACATGACCGAGGGGCTGCAGGTACCCGGGGGGCTGCATTCTGCAGCATCCACTGAGATGCAAATGAGGCCAGTCTTGTCCATGCATTCATTCCAGCCAAGGTGTCCCCAGGAGCCCCGAGAAGCCAGCTCCCCACTCTGAGCCCATCTCGGCACAGACCAGTCAGCCCCCCCCCGCCCCTAATTCTTCCCACAGCTGGAGCTGTGACAGGACACGGGCTTCCTTACCACTGTGCACCCGTTGTAGAGGTTATGCTGGTCCTTGTGGGCGTGGGCACAGAAGTCCATGCAGGCCGTGACCCCCGAAAAGGGCCGTCCTTCCTTCAGCCCCAGGCGGCAGTCAATCGCTATTTCCTCATTGGTCACCTGTGTGGATGGCCAAGGAGAGCTGCTCGTGTGACCGGAGGTGAGTGGCCCTGACATTGCACCCAGGAAGGCCCGGTCGTGGGGGGAGTGAGGCAGGTTAAGGGTCACAGCTACCCTGCCCTTGACCGCAGAGCAAAGTTGGCTGACTGAGGCTCCTGTAGGAATTATCTTTCTAGGTTGCCTCAAGTCTTCTCATTCTGTCTAGACAATGCCACAGGAACCAGATCCGAGGGGGGCAAAGGAACACTAAGAGGAAGTGGGTGAAGACCAGGCACAGGGATGGTCTGGGATGCTGTTACCCTGTGTACACAGGGGGTTTTAGCACAGAAATAATCATTGTGTTCCCACAAGGGCCACAGAGAAGCCCACCTTCCCAGTTCCCAACTTCAGGGCAACTTGCAGAGATGTGGATGACATGTGGGCAGAGGAAGGTCCAGTACCTGGTTCTGATAGGCCTGGGGGGCCAGCCGCTTGTACAGGGGGGCGACTTCGGTGGCCAGGTCCTGGAAACTCTTCCGGAGCACTTCTTCCTGCGGAGAGAAGGGCAGTTACCCAAGCGGAACACCTCCCCTGGTGGACCAAGCCATGGAAATGGACCACTGTTCCAGAACCACTGCCAGGTTGCCATGGCAGGAGAGGAAGTTAGTGTTTTTAAAGTTTTATTTATGTATGCACACAAGAGCCAGGGTACAGGCCAGTGGTGCAGCAGGGTGAGAGGATTCACCAGAGACAGAGTGGGGAGCAGAACAGGCAGATCGACGAAGTACACTGCTTAGGGGAGCAGCGGGCGAGACAGGAGCAGTCTGCTGTGCCATGAGGGTCAGCTCCCTGGCTGGGAAGTGGACTCGTGTTGTAGAGGTTGAGAGCAGCTTCTTAGTGGTGCGCTTTAACCTGCTGCCCCACCAGGGAGGGCCGAGGAAGTTAGGGTTTACAGTCTCCCCAGTAGGGCTATAAGGAATGGTGCTAAGCACACTTAACCCTGAAGCTCATCAGGAAAGACACTCACTCCCTTCTAGAAGATCAAGTCACCTTGCTGCTCAGAGCACATAACACAGGTTCTTGCTTTTGAATGCTCAGTGCCCGGGTCCGAGGTGCAATATGGCCAGCATGTAAAAGCACCCAGCTCCTTCCTCCTGGGTTACACACAGGTAAATAAAGGCAAAGGGGTGGACAAGGTCTGTGCTAGAAAGCAAAGAGCCGCCTGGAGGCCACAAGCCAAAGGTCCTGCTCCCTGGTCCCACACCATCGCAGGTGTTAGGCCACATGTAGCCAGGAAATCCACATTAATTTTTTTTTCATTATTTATTCGTACAGAACTGGGGTACAGGCCAGAAATGCAGAGGGTGAGAGGATTCACCAGAGACAGAGTGGGAAGCAGAACAGGCAGATCGACGAAGTACACTGCTGAGGGGAGCAGCGGGCGGTCAGGAGAGGTCTGACTCGCCATGTGGTCGCCTCCGGGGCAGGCGGGAATCGAACTCATGTGGAAGTGGCTTTAGCTTCTTAATGCTGTGCTTTAACCCGCTGCGCCACCAGGGAGGGCCCCCACGTTAATTTTTACTGAAAGAAAACGTCAGGGACGCTGCAGCACTCACTAGTCCACACACTCAGCAGCTGCATGGGCCCTGCTGTTCCAAAGAGCCACGTGCAGCAGCCCCCCAGCCCCACATCTGGTCCGACTACCAGGGCAATGGGGTTCCTAGTAGGCCCAGAGCAGAGGCATGAGAGGTTATGGATGAGAAAGGAGGAGGAAGAGGGAAGACAAAGAAGACAAGTTATAGAATAAAGGCAGTTAAGACCAGTGGCTCTGTCTTGCCTCTGGAGAGGCCGCGCAACAGTGCCCAGGTGGCCAGACACCCGTGAGGAGCCAGCCAGAGTACCCAGCACTGAGGGAGGGTGCTGATGCAGCACAGGAAGGCGTGGGAAATTAGTGTATCCCCATGTCTGTAGTCCTGCCTCCTGGGGCTCCTCCATTCCTGAAGCACTGCCCTCTGAAGCCTCTGTGGGTGGGCAGGCGAATGCATCTGAAAATCAGGCTCGAAATTTGAAAATACTTTCTTTTGCTTCTGAAAAGCAAGCTAACAGTTTGAGAACAGTTCAGATGTGGGGAGAAAAAACATGGCCACAGGGACCCCCCCAACCTGTGGGAAAGAGGGGGGTCCTTCTGGGACAAGGACCTCTGAGATTTGGAAGGCTGAATCTAGGATCAAGATGGTGCCTGGATCCAAGCATAGGCGCCAGCACCCACCTCGCAGGAGCTCAGGCAGGTGGAAGGAAATGACAGCAGACTGGGCCGTCTGGCCTGTGTTCAGAAGAAGCCCTCAGGATGGCCGGCACAGCAGGTCTGCTGGGGAGGCAGCCTGACCTGAGCCCCTGCAGCCCGGGAGGCACCTGCCCTGATGTTGCCAAGCTGGGGCGAGTTGTGTGGGTGGGTGGAGGCCTCGTGGCCAGCCCTGTGACGGAGGACCTGACCAGGCCTTCAGCGAGGAGGCTGTGAGGCCCGGGCCACACCCAGACACATGCCCTGGGAAGACATGATACTTAACAGTCAAATCCTACAGAGGAAACTAAATATATACCTTGAGAGTTTTTTTAAAAAAAGATTTATTTATTCATACAGAACTAGGGTTCAGGCCAGAGGTGCAGGGGTGGTGAGAGACTTCACCAGAGTCAGAGTGGGGAGCAGAACAGGCAAAATGACCAAAGTACACTGCTGAGGGGAGCAGCGGGCAGGCCAGGAGAGGTCTGCCATGCCATGTGGTCACCTCTGGGGCAGGCGGGAATCGAACTCATGCGGAGGTGGCTTGAGCTTTTTTAGTGCCCGCTGCGTCACCAGGGAGAGCCCTTGAGAATATTTTAAACTGGAAGAGTTTGAGGTACCTATCAGTTTAGTTTTCCACACACATATCGCTATAGTCCCTTTAGCACAGCGAGATAAGGTATGTTAAAAAAACCAAAGCCAGGGCCTGCCCTGATGGCGCAGCGGGTAAGAGCTCAGCACTATGAAGCTGTCCACAGCCACTGCAGCACCAGCTCGATCCCTGCGCCGGAGGTAACCCACATGGCGCGGCAGACCTCTCCTGACCCGCCCACTGCTCCCCTCAGCAGTGTACTTTGGTCGTTTTGCCTGTTCTGCTCCCCACTCTGACTCTGGTGAAGTCTCTCACCACCCCTGCACTTCTGGCCTGTACCCCAGTTCTGTATGCATAAATAAATCTTTAAAACAAAAAAGCCAGGTCCACCTTCTGTACATCCAAATCAGAGTGCTAATCCCACGGACCCCATCTATTAGACACCGGGGACAGGGTGAGTGGGGCCTGCCTTGCCCTGTGAACTCTGCTTACCTCTTTGGGGTTGTCCCCTGCAAGACGGAACTTGCGAGGCGTCTTGCTCCGAGCATATTTGCAGCCATTAAAGTACATGCTCCAGGAACAACCGAAGGAGAAGGAGGCACCGCAGGTGTTGGGGTCTTTGCCTTGGCAAGCGCAGGTCCGGCTGCAACAACACCACACATTAGGCATACAGACACCCCGTCCTGTGTTCTAGAATCTTCTTCAGTGTGGACACCCTGCTGCCTGCCAGCCACCGAGGTGGAGAATCGGCTCTGAGAATCTGCTCTGCTTCCTACCCCTCAGCCCAAAGGCCTCAACAATCTATTGCTGGGAAAGCACATGGCTGCCTGAGTTAGACGGGAAGAATGGAGTTTAAAAGCCAATAAAGTTACAGTTTGTCTCAATATCTTTACCGCCTCCAGCTCAGGTCACACAAGCAGGGGAAGCTTGCAGGGTTTGAAATGCTTATTTCCTGCAGGTCTGAAGGTTAATGGGATGTTAAGCCATAAACATTAAAACTCAGCACTTAATAAAATCTGGAAACAACCCAAACAATCCTCCACTGGGGATGGACAGAAAAATCGGGATATAGCTGCACCGTGGAATATTACTCAGTAAGAAAAAGGAAAGCAGTAGATATAGAGATGAATGTCGGCCACATACTCAGAGACCTAAATCAATAAACCAAGGGGTGGCATGGTAGGTTCCATTTTTCAATGACCCGTTACGAAGACAGGAAGTACGATCAGAGGGTGCCTGGGTTGGAGCAGTAGGGCATACCTATGAAAAGGGGTACCAGAGAATTTCTGTAACGACAGATTTTGATCATGGTGGGGGCTACATGACCATAAACACTGTCAAAACTCTTCAAACTGTGTACCTAAAGGGAGGGATTCCAGTAAATATGCCTTGGTATTTAGACAGAGGAGCAAAGCCCTCTGAGGGTGCCTACCACCTATGGCTTCTACCTTGGGGGCATGCACTTTTCACACTTGTTACCATCACTAGAGACTCCAAGTCAATCTGAAAGTCAAAGCAAAGTTGAGCTGAGTCAACAGAGCCTGCCCACCAGGGTGAGAAGCACCGCAGGGAAGCACTCTCCCCCCAGGCCTACCCCCCGCAGGACAGGTGGGGTCCTGGATGGGACCAGCATTTCCCTGGTGCTGCCCGAGTCCCCCCACATCTGCAGCCCTCCCGTGGGGGCTCCGTTGCCCTCCTGCCTTCCCCTAGCTGCAACCCTGCCACGTACTCATCGTTGAGGCCACATCTCCGGCTGGTGGGGTTCCCATACTTCCGGAGGGTATCGGTGAGCTCCTGGTAGAGGGTGTCTCCGAGGCTGCGGGGGATGCCCTCCCAGGCCAGGATGAGGATGACGATCACGGCGTTCTGGCAGTGGTGGCCTGCCCGGTGCCGCACCAGGCACAGCAGCTTCTCCTCCAGCGTGTGCCTACGGATCACCTGCAGGGAGGGAGGGGAGGGCTGTTACCTGCGGGAGCCTGCCACCCCCATTCCTCTGCATGGATGCCTCCACCGACTCACCTGGGGCAAAGGGCTTTAGAGTGTCACACCCTGGGGACAGCCACCACACAGGTAGAGAGACCGGTAAAATTAGGTGGGGGGAACCACCAAAGTTATTTTTCAATAGAAAAATAAAGTACTACAAATTCTAAATTATTGACCATTTATGTGGACTTCGGAGCAAAAATACACATAAAATTCTGAATCTAAGGATATTCAAGAATTTTTTTTTTCTTACTTTCTCCTAAGACAGTGACAGAGAAAATGCTGCCTATCTGTCTGTATGTTTTTAGTTTAAAAGCCAGGGCCTCGGTGCTATGGAAAATACCCCCTACCTCTACCTCAAAAAGCTAAAGCTAATTACCAAGTGACCAGGCAAGGCCACTCCTGGAAACAGACGCGAGGGAACCCAGAGCAGGGACTCGGACAGTCACCTGCACACCACGCTCAGGGCTATGCGCTGATGAATGGATAAGCAGAATGTGGCCTACCCGCACCAGGGAGCCAACGTGAGTGTCATTCAACCTGAACAAGAACCGGATGTCTGACACATACTATACGATGACTCGTGAGAAGATGGCGCTCAGAAAATGCCAGGCAGTAAAGCACACACACCACGTGATCCCACGTCAGGAGGCGTCTCGGGCAGGCGGCTGTGGGAGTGACTGTGATGGGGTACAGGGGTTCACTAAGGGAAGATGAGTTTCGAAACAGACCGTGGTAATGGTCATAAAGCAGTGTGAATGGACATGATGCCACCAAACTGTAATGGCTACAAAAGGTTAAAATGACAAATATTATGTTCTGCATAATTTT